CCCCCCCCCCCCCTTTCTCTCCCTCTCTCTCTCTCTCTCTCTCTCTCTCTCTCTCTCTCTCTCTCACTCTCTCTCTCTCACTTTTCCTCTCTCTCTTTCTCTTACTTTTTCTTTCTCCATCTTACTTCTCCAGGCCCACCCCACCACCTTCACCCCTTTTTTTGCATATAGTCATATTTAGATCTATATTCCCTCCCATTCCGTTGCCCTCTGCCCAGCCCTACTATTATATTATCCTTTGTAAAGAAAAGACCATAGTGTAGTTCATGTGGGTTACCACGGTTGGCGCCCATTTGTTGTAAGTTCGTAGAAACAGAGGAAGGCCAAGGTCGAATTGCTTGTCTGCTTCACATCCAGTACACCTAGTGATTGGGCACGCATATTGGAGTTTGAGTCTGAATAGCCACGGAAGGCTATTCAGACTCGAGTGTCCGAATAGCCTCACACGGCTGTTTGGACTCGAGTCCGAATAGCCGCAGCCTTTAACCTATAGATCTAATAAAAATCAATTTATTGTTCAGAGTGTCTATCATGTACTCGGTAACCGGGCACCAAGCCTCAGTGTCTACGTACACGGCAACTGGGCGTGTAGTCTCAATGTCACATACGGTAACCGGGCATTTCAGAACTCCAAGTTCAGTTTTTGTCTTTCGGTGTTGCCTTCAACTCCACCTCTCCCCCGACTGTACCTTAAACAAAAAATCAGTAATCCCCCCATTCCGGAGCCCTATACTTCGCAGCGCTCAAGCTTTGAATGAACCTTGGTGACCCCAACCGGTAGGACTACTCATTATGTGAAGCAAACGCACAGGTTCACTGACCGGTTATGATGCGAACCGGACAAGACGCTTTTGTATGACTTTCTTTTTTTTCAGCAAGTGACAGCACAGGACAAATATTGATTTATTTTCTTTCCGGTTACTGTGTATTAGACTGTCGTAGATACTGAGACTAGGTGCCCGGTTACCATGTACTTAGATACTGAGACTAGATGCGTGGTTACCATGTTCGTAGACACTCCATTTATTGTTTGAAAAAAAAAGTAGCCGACAAAAGCCATGCCCGTGTAGAATCTAGATCTTCTTGATCTAGATTCCAGATCTAGATCTAGTGACAGTGGAGTAGACACAAAGGAGCTTTCTTTTGTCTTGTTCGGTTTTCATCAGAAGAGAGTGCTCGTATTACTTATTTCAAGTATTTGGGAGAGATCCCTGCAGGCTACATGCCCATATATAAGAAGGAAGGTGAATGAATAAATGTTGACCCTTGTATATATATATATGCAGCGGCTACGTTCACTGCGCTGTGAACATACTTTGCAGACTACATTCATTGCGCCCTGAATCGGCCACCATTGGCACAGAGGCACGACTGAAATGCTACGGCCGTTCAAAGTTCAAAGTGAATGAGGAAACAGCACAGTACAGATACTCCCGTGAAAAATAATGTAGCGATGGTCTTAAGGGAGAATGAAAGATGGCCAAGGTGGGAAGAGGGGTGGGAGGGGGTGAAAAAAAGAAGAAGCAAAAGGGAAAAGGGTATGGGGGGGAAGTGAGCAAGATCATTCTATGGCAAACTACATAAAAGAGTGCAGTGAACCTAGCCACTGCGTAATTTATAATGCCATGCAGGAACAACATTTCATGAACTGACAAAGTGTCATATTATTATATATATATGCAAGTGGCTATTCTCCGGCGTTGCGCCGGTCAATAGATTGGAAGCTATTCTCTGGCATCACACTGCCGATCTATTACTAATGAATTATTTGTCGGCGCAGATTTGCAAATACCTCTCTCATCTGTTTGTCTTGAGAAAAAATTCCCATAACTTCACCACTTCGTGCCACTGCCATTGATACAGACATGTTTTCAGACACAAACTGCCTCAATTTCTCCAATTCAGAATTAGATCATTCTATCCGTCCCCGTCGTTTATGCAAGAAACATTCTGTAATTATGCAAACTGAGCCCAAAAATGTGAAATTATGCGATTCTGTTAATTTCAACAAAGAATAATAGAGATGCGACAAGAAAGCACTGAGGTCGCAAAATATTGAAAATTACAATAACAAGAAATATGTTAAACATCAAGCTATATACTCTGTGACTAGACAGGATTTTAGACACAAAATCAATTTTGTTTGTTTAAAGAAGCATAATCATTATTTTAAAATAAGTAAATGGACCACCCAAATAAATGAATAAAGTTACGTTGAACAATTATCATTGATAAAATATAATGAAAAGTAGACCTACTAGGCCTAGTTATTGTATCCCAAAATCTGCGTTGACAAATACATTGTTGTAATTCATAAGTAATGGACACGTCGGAGAATAGCTTCCTATCTATTGACCGGCGTGACGCCGGAGAATAGCCCCTAGCTCTATGTATATATAT